CGGCCCCGGCCGGGCCCGCGCGTTGCCGGGCGACCGCGGCCGCCGCCGCCGCCATGTCGTCCCTGCGGGACGCGGGCCCCGAGCTGCGCGGCTACTTCAGGCGCCACAACCTCCTCGGCATCTACGAGGTACCGGCACCGGCACCAGCACTGCCTGCCCAGCCCGCCGAGCCCGCCGCCTGCAGGGAGCGGGGAGGTTCCCCTCCCCGCCCCGGTATTCCTCAGGGAAACTTCAGGAATACCCCTTCCACCTCCCAGGAATATGCCCTCTCACCAATATTCCCCCTAAAAAGTAACCCCCTGACTTCAGGAATTACCCCCTCAAAAGTACCACCTCAGAAATGYCCTCCTCAGGAGTACACCCTTGAAATACCCCCCTCAGAAGTACCCCCCAGGACCACCCTCAGAACGACCCCTCTCAAAATAAGCCCCCTCAGGAATAACCCCTTAGAAATGCCCTTCAGGAATACCCCGCTAAGGAGTATCCTCCCCTCAGGAATACCCCCTCCCCCAAAAAAGTGCCCCCTCAGAAATACCCMGTCCAAAGTACCCTCTCAGGAATACCCCACTGAAAGCACCCCCTTAGATATGTTCCTTCCTGGAGTACTCCCTCTGAAATACACCCCTTGGAAGTGCCCCCTCAGTACTATCACCCACAGGAATAAACCCTCAGAATTCCCCCCTTCAGGAATACCCCCTCAGAAATACCCCTTCGGAATCTCCCCCTTAGGAGCAGCCTGTTTGTCCTGGCCGTGGGGCTCCTGGCCCTCATGCTTCTGGGTGCTGGGTGTTGAGTGGAATTTTGCTCTTCACTCTCTATTACTGGCATTCTCCAAATGATTTATGAAGACTTTGAACATGGGAAGTTAGTTGGAAGGAGGAAATTCTGCACTGGGATCCATGTTTAAACTGGAACTGTGACCACAGTGAAGACAAACAGTGAAGTGCTTTGGCATCTCTGTTCCATTTACCTTATCCTTACTTGTAGAAATACCTTATTTTTAGATTTCAGGTGGAAATTTGAGTGCGTTCAGGAGCTGGATACTCTGCTTTGATCACCRCAGATACTCTCTGAGATGGATTGAGAACTGGCTGGATGGCAGAGCTCAGTGCCATGATAAATGGGGCTGAGTSCAGTTGGAGGCCTGTGGCCAGTGGTGTCCCGCAGGGGTCAGTRCTGGGCCCGGTGCTGTTCCGCTTGTTCCTCAATGACCTGGAYGAGGGCACAGAGGGCACCCTGAGTAACTTTGCGGATRATACCAAACTGGGTGAAGTGACTGACAGTCCAGAGGGCTGTGCTGCCATCCAGAGGGACCTGGACAGGCTGGAGAGTTGGGCAGAGAGGAATCTCCTGAGGGTCAACAAGGACAAGTGCAGGGTCCTGCACCAGGRGAGGAATAACCCCAGGCATCAGTACAGATTAGGGGTTGACCTCCTGGAGAGCAGCTCCACATAGAGGGACCTGGGAGTCCTGGTTGACACCAAGTCACCCACGAGGCAGCAGTGCCCTCGTGGCCAAGGAGGCCAATGGGCTCCTGGCTGCATCAGGAGGATGTTGCCAGCAGGGGCAGGGAGGGGATCCTGCCCCTCTGCTCAGCTCTGGGGAGGCCRCACCTGGAGTATTGGGGGCAGCTCTGGGCTCCCCMGGACAAGAGGGACGTGGAGCTCCTAGAGAGGGTCCAGTGGAGAGCTCCAAAGATGATGAAGGGACTGGAGCATCTCTCATATGAGGAGAGGYTAAGCGAGCTGGGCCTGTTTAATTTGGATAAGGGAAGGTTGAGAGGGGATCTGATTAATATGTCCAAGTAMCTGAGAGGGGAATGTAGGGAGGAAGGGGCCAAACTCTTCTTGATGGTGGCTAGTGACAGGACAAGGGGCAATGGGTGCAAGCTGAAACCCAGGCAGTTTCATCTGCRTGTGAGGAAGAACTTGTTTGGYGTGAGGGTGCCAGAGCCCTGGTACAGGCTGCCCAGGGAGGCTGTGGAGTCTCCTTCTCTGGAGATCTTCCAAAGGCGCCTGGATGCCACCCTGTGCTCTGGGTGTCCCTGCTGGAGCAGGGGGTTGGACTGGATGAGCTCTAGGGGTCCCTTCCAACCTCAACCATTCTGTGATTCTGTGTGATTCTGTAACAGTCAGTAAATCTATTCCTGCCAAAGGTGAAGGTGGCTGTATATGTTGGACCATATGGACCATATATGGACCATATATGTTKCATGAGGTAGTGTCGCCTGGTGCCATCATCGATGAGCTTTCATGAAACACAAACTTTGTGCAGGACTGGGCAACGATCAAAGTTTGATGTTGGCATTTGGTTTGTTATTGATTCTTCCTCACATTGCTGTAATTTCMTCCCTTTTTACTTCTGTTATCTTCWGTCTAGTTCAAAAAATCATTTTTCAGTTTCATGAACACACTCAGTGGACAATGCACAAATGGACGTTTAAGAGACATCCTGATATTTTTAAGCTACAAAAATAGACCCAGCTTGCAAGCAGCYCTCACAGGCAGATTTCCATGGAAACATTAATAAAGAAATCTTGAACCCATTAGTGTAATTACAGAGCAGCATTGCTAGGCAGGCAGCGCGTCGGCACCTCTCCTGAGAAGCCTGCTCTTCGCTGCTCTTTTTTTTTAAGCACGGGAGAACGAAAGATAAGTTGTACCTACAGAAGCTTCATTTCTTGATTCAGCACTTCAAAACTAGCTCATATTTACTTTTCCAAGCAAAGGCCATATATACCTTTGGAAYAGCAGTAGCCTTAAATCAGTAACTAAAATTAAAAGAATTAAAGTTCAGACTAAAGAGAATTTCTTAAAGGAAGAAAYGAGTTACAAAATTTGTCTCTCTAAGAAAGATCTTTTTTTTTTTTTTATTTCTTAGTGATTGATGCTCACCAATAACCCTACTTCTAACTTGTTTCTTTGTTACATTTTTATTGGTTTCTAAAGAAACAGAGTGCTTGGTGAGATGACAAATGAGATGATAACAGTCCTGATATTAAGGAACATAAAAGCTAAGCCCAAACCCRTGAACATTTATGTCTATACTGTTGAAAATGAGCAGTAAAGATACAGTCTAAAATGGCCATTTGCTGCTGGCCTTGTATGATCAGGCTGTGGTTTGGACAGGGTCCAAACAGAGGAGTCACGTCCAGGAAATCTGGGATTCCCTGCTGCGTCTGYTTCTTTCATTCCCATCCGATTTCTCCTTCTCAAGTCTTATGCAGATTCTCTTTAAAACAATATACCTAAAAAGGTAAATTGTAGTCCTGCCAACACTTTGTATAGACTTTGACCGTTATGTCACTGCTATGTCCTGTCTACTCAATTACCCTTTATAATATCACATTGACATTTAAGCCAGGTGTTAGGAAATATTTAAACTGTAAAATGATGTAGTATAGCTTGAATATCTGCTGATCATCATGTCTTCAGCACTAGAAGTGTGAGGCAGTGAAAAAAACATTKTTAGCAACAATTTGAATAGCAAATCATCTCTTGCTTTGTCCTTTTATTTTGCATATTGAGACTTTTTCCAATACTCACCATAATACCTAGAAAATTTAAGTAATTGTTCAGGATATGGTGGTGTGCTAGGTGCTGTAGTGCTGTACATTTACCAAAACATGGTCCATGGCCAAAGGGTTTGTAATCTGGTGATTAATGAATCAGTAAATAGGCAGAAGGAGATGTAACGACACAGTGAGAGCATTACCAGTGACCAGGAAAGGCAGAAGTCACAACATATCAGCAGCAAAACCAAGCGTTTTTATCCAAGCCTCACACAAAAGACAGGTTTTGTGGAACTGACATAGTTCATTTCTTGTGATTCTATAGGAAAAACAGTATTGCAGGACATGTAGACTCTTGACTTTAGTATTTGGGGCTCTCAGAAAAGCAATGAATATTGCAAGAGTTTGCAGGAAAACATCAAGTTGTTAACAAAACTGCAGTGAACAGCATGTACAAATTCTAGATTGCTTTGGAGTTTGGGTTTATTATTATAAATAAAAACCAGTAATCATTGGGTTTTAGTTTTAGGCTTGGATGTGTAATAAATTACTTGTGAGTGTATTGGTTTGTCTAGTATTTTGAGTTAGAAGATGAAAATACACAACCTCTTCAAATTTCTGGTCAAAAAAAGAGTATGTTGCATGTATATGACTTGATTTCTAAAGTATAAAAAGGGTAGATTTTGAAACTGTTTGCATTGGAAAATCTGATAGACAGGGCATGAATGTTTCCTTGTCTTCTAAGAGAAGCTTTTCTGTTGTAAACAAATGGAAGCCAGTGACTTAGAAAATATCTTTCAACGTAACAGAATTACTGCTGTGTGTAYCGAGGTCTTCTCAGTGATCTGAAGAAAATGTTGAACAGTTGAAACAGCTTTTTGGATATCAGCATGGTTTTTTTATTATTTTTAGTATGATAAAAATACTGASAATAACTTTCTATTTCACACATGACTAAGGAGGCACAAATGGTTCTCCCATTACTGAGCTTTAGGCTGAATGCTGCCCAGGTTTAAGACTTTCCCCTTGTGAGCGTCCTCTAAATGAGAGATGAACTTTTCCAGATTTGCTAAAGAGAGGAATTTCAAGTGAAAATTGATTTAAACATTTCATTCTAGCCTGGTGACTAGAGGTACAGTTGCACTGTAGCAATTTTATTGATATTTTATATAATTGGGCACTTGGTTAACTAGGAACACTAAGCAAATACCATATTTGAAGTGTAAGTACGCTTTTTTTAAATAAGTTATTCTGTTAAAAGTAAAATTTATAGATTGAGGAAAAARTATGGCTGGACTCCTTCAGATTTCTTCAGCAAATCTGCCCTGATTTGGCACAGTTTTCAGTTTTAGTCTTGGCCTAAGTATTACTGATGATTGCCTGGGTGAGGATTGCACAGCCAGATGTTACAACTTCTTTTTCTCAAGCAAGTTTTTAAAAAGAATTCTCCAATAAATAAAATTGAGCCTTTGCAGTCCAATGTTTGGTTGGATACATATATATATAGGTAAAACGTTGCTTGTGTTCATATAAAAAAGAAAAAAAAGCTGAAATAATAAAAATTGGCTTTTGTATAGCAGGCAGATARTGGCTTAGTCCAGCAGAGGGAGCAGCTGAACAAGCTTGAGACTGGTTTTAGCAACTCTTGCACGTGAAGAAGGCCTTTTATGCCTGTATTTTATTCGGTAGGGTATTATTTGACATGGATTACAAAGATTAATGTTAGATTTATATAACATTTTATTAATGTAGTCAATTATGCAGATATATTATTTGGAAAAGTACTTTTTTATTAACGTTGAATGGATACTAATGTTAGAATCAGTGTGTTGCTTAGTGCTGCAGATGCTTAAGGAGTGTGAATTGAAAACATTTGCCAAAAATATCTCTTTTCCTGTGTGTCCCTGTTATAGCCTCCCATGATCTGCATTTGCCTACTCTGTCACAATACCAAATATGACATGATTGCCTCAGATAGTTCCTGCTTTAAATATTTAAATGCTTAGTTTTATATTTATATAAAACAGGTATATCATAGTAATAACAAGCCAGAATCAATGCAAGTGCTACGAAATGAGGAAAATATTTCTGCCTACTCAGATTAACCAAAAGGCAGTTGTGGGAGCGAGAACATTAGTGTGTCTGGATGCACAGTCTTCTAGATTGGAAGAAAATCTAAAATTTCAGACATTATTATAAAAATGGKTTTTTTTACAAGTTATTTTCCTAATAACAGGTGTGAGGAAATAAGAACAACATAGGAAAATTTTCTCAGGAAAATATCCTTTGCATCAGTGTAGGATAATCTCTGATACAGTCATATTTTATACTTTTTACCAAGCACAGACAATGCCAATTTGTGGTTTTGATTAAATATTCTCTATGGCAAACAGAGCTTGCCTGGTTATGCAAAGCTGGTGCAAAGTAGCCCAATAATCCAATGCTGAAAAGCAATCTTTTTATAAGTTGCATTTCATTTTCAATATTGATTACAAATCAATATCTGGTCAGGGTTTTTGCTCAACATGCTCTTTAATTCACAASCTCTTCAGTTTGAATTCTGCTTCTTTTTAACTAAATAAAATTATCCAGTCTCCCTATACTTTTTATTTAATGCATAGTACAAAACTGAAATTCTTAGTAGACAGCACTACATAAGCACCATGTATTTTATTACTATCCAAAACCCACTGGTTTTAATTCTGCTACTTGAAATATGGTGATACATACAAATGAAATGTCACGACAAGTGATAAGGGAAAATGCAATTTTTTTTACAGTATTTTAAAAAAGAAACTAGTAGTTGCTTTTTATAGTTTCATATCTAGTATACTAATTTGCTCTTTCTTTTTGCAGGCTCTGCTTTGTGGTGTAATTGTTATGCGTCCAGAAGATCCACTTATATTTTTAGAAGAAAAAATCAAAGAAATTATGGAAAAGGGACTTAATTCTGGTTTATGGTACATCTTAAATGATTTTATGTGTACTACACAGTTCATAATGCTGAACTTATACTTTTTAAGCATGCTAATGATACGGCATCTACTATGTAGACTGCAAGTTAAATATTAATATTCTCTATAATAGCCTATGATGTTACAAATATAGCAAGACCAATATAGGCAATATCTCCTAAAACCATAGAAAATGTTTTTCTTTTGGAATCTCTTTTTATTTTTCTGTAGGGTATTTAATGAATATGACTTCTACCTAATGCTCCACTTAGTTTGATAAAACCATTAAGCCCTTAGTGTTGTGGTGATCAGTTATATATTATTATCTTTTACAACTTCATTGCAGTCAGGGGTATATTTACCCTTGGGTATATTGCCACTTATTTTCTGTTCTCTGTGTGTTCTTYCACTCTTAAATCACAATGTGAGATAAAAGACACTGAGAATTTAGTTTTATTTATGCTGGAACCTTAGAGTATATTGTGCTTGGCTTGTGAACTGTGAATGGAAGTGAGTTTTGGTCTTCAAAATATACTTACAAAGCATATAGAAGTAGTAAAAACTACAAATGCTTTCTGAGTTTTTATAAATATACATCATTATAGTTTATTTTTCTCAGTCTCTCAGTGCCTGCTGTTGAAAGAAGTAGCTTGACTGGCTTCTAGTTCTTCTATGCCTGAGAAAATAGAGAAAGTATATGTGTATGGTTTATTAGGCAGAAACCAAGATGCAGTTTTGCTTTAGCTCTGAATATGGTCAGACCATATGTTCTACGTGTTTGTGAAGTTCAATACTGTTGGTGCAGCTCTAGCAAAAGTTATTTCTCCTCTTTTGTTAACACTCACATATAAATGAGTAATTTCATGGTTCATGTGTATTTCAAGTAAATTTATGCTTGTAAATGTGMAATCTTGGAGGTGCAAATTCTAGTCCATTGATGGTCTTGAGCGTCAGGACAAGATCTTCAGTTGGTGCAGAGAGGGGAGCAAAGAGCAATGACAATGCTCATGACATGAGTCACTAAGAAGATGGAGTTTGCATTCACAGGTATCGTGGGTGCAATAAACTTGTTAAGTCTGCAGTTTAATTGCGATGTCTGGATTCAGGTGCAAGAAAACTTTAAATACGGACCAGAACTTTTGCTAGCTCTGTAGTATAAGGAAGGAAGAAGAGGAGAAAATAGATGTAGCAACAGAGATGCCTGAAAGCAAAAGCTGCTGGGGGAGTGCAAGTTTTGTATAGTAGGGTGATGGCAAGTCTTAGTTCAGTATGAATTAAATTCATTTCTATATGTAAATGCTATGCCATATAATTTCTTTATAATCCCATTTCATTGGATCTGCTATCAGTGTTTGCTTTGGTTTTAGCAAGAGACTGTTCTGTTGAGATACTGAAGTCTGTAAGATGCCTCTTCATGGTCAGAAAATTGTCATGTTCAGTGCTGCATTAAAACTGCTCTATTTAGATGAGGGCTGGAGAAGCCTGGAGAGAGAGACTTGAAAAAAAAAGAGAGAATACAATAGACAGTGTCAGGGTTAGTGCTAGGAAAACCTTTCACTTGACTTCATAGGGCTGGCCAGTGACTACCTGTGTGTAGGTGCATTTAGCAGGTACTCAAGGCCTTATCCTGTTTCCATGTTCTGTGCAAACATTCCTCTTGGTTGAAGTTTTCAGTAGGAGGAACCTCTTTGGCTGACAGAAGCAGAGATCTCAGGAGCTCCATGGGCCCCTATCCACTGAGCTCCATCATGGGGATGGATAACATCCTTTCAGTGGGTGCTGCAGATTTGTGCCCTTGTTTTATCAGCTCCTTGCTTGTTTTTTTGCCATGTGTAACAGAGGACAGTGGTTTTGCCAACAACCAACAGTCGAGCTGTGATAATTAGGCATTATTGTTTACTTTGCATTACTTACGATGCCATTCCTGCCAGTTGAAGACTTACTTGATTTTTCTTTTAATTTTGGCTCTGTGATAAATACTTTTCATTTCTGCATTTTTCATGGRAGCATAGTTCTTTTTGATTTTTTTGGCTTTTGAGGTTTGTCCTTTTTCTTTTTTTTAAGGAAACAACATTGTTTGCCTACACACATATTGGATAGCCTATAGCAAAATCAGGATACACCACTATTTTTTAAGATGAACAACAAAATAGTTTCAATATGGATCATTTCTTTTCAGATTATACTACAATAAATATGTTAACCTCTGATGTACACAATACTTCAAAATAGCTTCAGAGTATCAATAAAATATGGTCATTTGTTTTTGTATTTTCTAAACATTTGAAAACGGCAGCCATAGTTAGTTGTAATAAAAGTGATATGGGTCAATCTTTAGTAGTAATGTTACAATAATATTATATAACTATATTAAGTACAGAGGAAATATGTWTTTTTGTGATATTAGTACTGTTAGTACAGTTAATATAATTTCTTTTCTGAAGGTACATGTGTATTGATCCTTCTTTACGGACAAATTTGAAGAGGATTGCAGAAACCTACCTTAGTGCCATTTTTGGACTAGATGTTGAACAGCTGGTAAAGATCTTCGAGTATTTGCATTAACTCTATGCTGTGAAAGTAAATTTCTGTGAAGAATAATCAAATTTGAAGTTTGCTATGTTTGGATTTTTTATATAATTTACACAAGGAATAGGGTACCTTGCATTTCCTTCTGTTGATGTTGACTTGCATCTTTCAAAAACTATYATTGAGGTTGGGCATGGCATGTTGGCATATGGTTGTGAACAGGTACCTTTTCCAAATATGGTCATAATTTTAAAAAATCCATATAAATATGAATGCAGTTTCAGTTGCATATTTTTTTTCCATTCATTAGGGTTTTTTTTTAATAGATTCCTATAAATGTGATCATAACTATAAATAGAACATTTTAGTTGAACAATTTTCTCTCTGAAATACATATTTTAATTTGCACCAGTCCAAATGGCAAATAAAGATAGGAGATTTCATTTTTTGTTTGATTTTTAAATCTAATACAGCATAGTACAGCACTGTTTTGTGCACTAATGCCATAAGTATTTTGTTTAGATGACTACCGAATTATGTACCAAGGCATTTGACTTCTACAGCAGAAACTTAAAGAAGTTTTATTTTCGGTAAGTATTTTACTATGCATTTTACATATAACTCATGAACATTTTAGGAAACATCCTTAAGAAATGAATCCTTGTGTCATTCATTTTAATTTTCATTGAACAACAAAATAAAAGATATTATAAAATTAGATTGTCTGTTTTTACCTTACTTTACCAGTCTTACTTTACCTAGTTAATTCAAAATTTCTGACTGCTATGGGCCTGAACAAATTCAGCTGATGTTTCTGTAATTCGATCAGATCTATTTGTGAGGAATATAAAAGTAAACCCAAGAGCTGAAGAATAGTTTGAGACGCACTAAAGTCTAAGTCTAAATGATCTGGAGTCTCTTCTGATCTTTCTTCAATTTTCTTTGTGCTCAGAAATAGTATTTTATGCTTTTTTTTTGTTAAAAAAAATGTAATCAAAATTCAATGGTCCTCTTTTTGGGAGAGATCAGATTAGACATTTAGCAATGCTGTTTTTACCATATCGTACTGTACTCTTTAATTCTGTTAGAAAAAATCTTTCCTAAAAATCATAGAATCATAATTTTGGAAAGGAGATCCAGGTGTTACAAATGATACGTCAGTTGTCATGAACATTTGTCAAGCTTGATTTTAGTAATATCAGAAAAGTGTTAGAGACACAACAATCTGCAGTTTATTACAGTGATTCATAACCCTTTCTACTAGAAATATTTTTCCTAACACTTGAATCTTCCTTGTTATAAAATAACTTCCTTCCACTATAAAATTACTTCCATATTACTTCCATTTATTTCCATAAATATTTAAAAGTTCTTCCATAAGTACAGATCCATATATTAAAGTATATCCAACAACAGCAAGAATATGTGATTATGGAAACAGGTTTTATTGATCAATAATGTGACTTTTAAGAAAATGTAGAAAATGAGCAAAGCGAATTGTTCAGGAAAAAATTTACCAGTGTATATTTTGTTGAAACTACAATCAGCAAAGACCAGCAAAGTATAAATTGAGGAATTTATACTGATAAACATTACTGTGTTTTGCAGCAAATTGCAGTTTTACGAATTTTACTTATTTCAGGCTGGGAGCCATACTAAATTTTTCACTGTATTTTAAAATACAGAGGATGGATAAAATATCATCTACAGAGAAAAAACAATAGAAAAAAGACAGATCAAAAGATGGCTCTAGCAGCAGTCCATTATAAATTCCGAAAAATAAGAATTATTATTGAGAAGTGGAACAGCTGGGCACAGATTCACAAAGAGAAAAACATATGTAAGTCTTCATATCTATTTTTCTAAGACAAAATTACATTATCTAGAGGAAAATTCTAATGGATTAATTGATATAGGTCTTAAATGTTAATTTATAGTTAGTTTAGTTGAATTGCAAATTAATACCTTTGGTAAGTGATGCTGCGATGTACATTTTAAATTTCAAACTTTACATTTTAATCATTGTGTTTGAAGGAGAGGGCCGCATGCCACACTTGCCAAGCTGAGCTCTGGTCCATGACCCAGAATTATTTAGCCCTRATTACTCAAGCAGCTCTTTTTTCTTAAAATCAGGAATAAAAGTAGGAAATACCAGGAATAAAAGTAGAAAAGTCTCTGAGTTCTCCTTGCAGCTTGTAGTTTTTTACAAGTTAACAAAGAAAAAGGATTTCAAGTGATGACTTCAGTTTTTTTTTCCAGAAAATTTATTTCCTGTTGTCTTTCCTTGAATGGCTGTCAAGAACATTTTATTTCCACTGCCTGTGTATCACCTTTCATGTGCTGAAGGATAGTTACAGTATTCACAGTATGCATACTCTTTTTGGTCAAGACTAAAAAAGCTCAATTCTTTCAAACGTCTCTCAGAAATCATGGTTTTTAGTTTGTATTAATTAGTACAAACTAATTTAAAATAAGTTTTTAAACTTATTAATTATTACTTATTATTAACTTATTAATAAGGAGCTTCTGTCTTTCATAACTGCAAACCTTTATCTGTTGTGCTATAAGCTGTATCCTGTATGCTTTTTTGTACATTTGACATTTAAGTGTAACACTTAGTACTTGTCTTTACTAAATTTACTTTCATGACTTCTAACTCCCTGTCTTGCTTTGTCAAGACCGTTTTGAATTTTGTCCTCTGAATTGCTTACAATTCTTTCCCTCTCCAATTCAGATGATATGAATGTACTCCCTTCTATGCCATCCAAAACATTTTTAAACTCATGAAGTTATATTTTATTTCACTTATGCCTATGTACACTTTGCAGATTCAAGTCATATGAAGTTCCTGGCAATGGTAAATCAAGCTGTAGATGAGAAATGACTTGTATGTAACTCTAATAAAATGAAATTATGCCCTATTGATGCTTTGGTTTCTAGCTTGGAATCCTATTGTAAAGGTTTTAATTACATCTGTTATTAAAAGCTGTTATTTATATCCTTACCAAAAATGAATAGCTACTTTACTGAGAAGTGGTTTKGTTCCCAATCATTCATCTAAGGCATTTAAATGACATACGTATTCTTAAMTATGCTCCTTTAATTAACATTAAATATGTTTTTCAGTGGCAACAAGGATACTACAACAGATCTTTAACAAAATAACTCTAAAAGCTGTCTTAAAAGCTTGGCATGCAGAGGCCTGCAGTTCATTGAAAACAAAAGCCTATTTTGAGGTAAGCAATTTCTAATGTAGTAAACTCAATGATTAAAAATTATCTCCAGAAATTCCAATTGCTATGGAAAAACAGCTGTCAATATTAAATGAAGTGTTTGACTGTACTACTGCAAATGCCATAAATGCCAGTCTCCACAGAATCACACAGAATCCCAGAATGGTTGAGGTTGGAAGGGGCCCCTAGAGCTCATCTAGTCCAACCCCCTGCTCCAGCAGGGACACCCAGAGCACGGGRCACAGGGCRGCATCCAGGCGCCTTTGGAAGATCTCCAGAGAAGGAGACTCCACAGCCTCCCTGGGCAGCCTGGGCCAGGGCTCTGGCTCCCTCACACCAAACAAGTTCTTCCTCACATGCASATGGAGCTGCCTGGGTTTCCACTTGCACCCATTGCCCCTTGTCCTGTCACTGGTCACCATCCAGAAAAGTTTGGTCCCTTTCTCCCTACATTCTCCCCTCAGGTACTTAGACATATTGATCAGGTCTCCTCTCACTCTTCTCTCCTTCAGGCCAAGCAGGCCCAGCTCACTCAGTCTTTCCTCATACRAGAGGTGCTCCAGTCCCTTCATCATCTTCGTTGCTCTGCACTGGATCCTCTCTAGAAGCTGAATAATTACTTCTAGGGGAGACTTGGATACTGCAAGACATCTGAGATGGCAGTCTCGTAGATAGTGGCAGTTACAGTTTTCACAGAGGTGTAACTGTGTGGGAGCTTGAAAATATATYGTTAATTTTACCAAATTTAGTTAATTTAGCAAATTTCTCTTGTGCCATTTTTATTTCAGAGTTTGATAAAGAAAAGTCCAGAAGGTAGTTTTGTTTCAAGTGAAAATCTTTCTTACCAATCTGTGAAATGTAAAGCTTCCCATCTACCAGAAGAAGCCTTATTGCAGGTTTGTTGGTATTCTAAAAATAGTAATTTCTTGTGCATATGATATTTAATATAGAGTATATATTTTACTTTGCTTTGAAAACTGTGTCTGTACAACATAAAGGAAGATTTTTGTTTTTCTGCTTGCTGTACTTTGGGACAGCTGGATTCTTTGAAGTATAGCAATGCTATTCCTTTCTCCAGGGGCAGCTGATCATATCATCATATTTTGCATGCTCCATCCTGACTTTGAGAAGTTTCTCTGAGCTAGGACTGCAAGAAAAATAGGGAGAATCAGAGAAAAAAATCTAATTTCTATTTTGAAGTTAGGGAACCTGGAGGATAGGTAGAGCTTGGAGCTCCTGAGAGGAGTAAAGGGGTAGCAGGTAGAAGATCTGCTAAACTAAGCAATAACAGGGAGAGGAGTTTATTTTCTCAGTGATTGAGAGATCTGTACAGAGATTATGACACTCGGGAAGACAGTAAAAGCTGCTAACCCAGAAAGCAAGACAAGGAATAAGGAATCTACTACAGCTTTAGAGAGTGCTGTATATGCTGACTTGTAAAAAAGAAGGTAGTTCTACACAGAAGTAAGAAACTCTGACCAACTAGGTCTCTTCGCATGCAGGTTGGTAAATATACCTGTATAATCAGTACAGTTTAATTTGTARTAACATTTAGGGAAAGGACATGATTGTTAGCTAATGGTCATGGAGCCTTCAGCYGTAAAGCCCAGGTTAACTAAAGTCCATTACTGAAAATAAATGCCACTGAAGGATACACTGGAAATACTGCTGAAATGTTGCAGTGGAAATGTATCTCCTCTAGTTTAAAATCACAAAAACATGAAAACATCATTTCAGTGAAACATATGCACTTTCTTTTAAATATTATGGGCCATAGCATACTCAAATTTCGGTTGTATCCTGTGAAGCCTAAAACCGAACGCATATATTCAATTTTAAGCATGTGCATAATGCCACTGAGGTCACGGGAATCTTTGATCCAAAAGCTCTGCTAAATATTGGCCACAGTTTACAGATTTTATCAAACTGACTTTCATTCTGAATGCCGTCTGCATGGATTCCACTGGTGATGCTTGTGGTCTTCATGAATGCGAGGTGGGTTTATTTTGGCTAGCTGCATCCTTGCAACTAGTCTATGCTCTTTTCTTAATACAGGCTAATTCAGCCCACAAAGAATTTCTACTGTTAAATAGTTCAGCCAGGGGCTGAACTTGTTAATAGTAGTAATCATACCTCTAATTACTAAAATGTTGCTACTAGCTAAGAAACAATCTCCAATATGAAGCTCTTCTTTAAATACTGTGCACTCCAAGGGCTGTGTTCCCTCTATAGAAGAATGAATGTCAATAAAACAGCAGGAGGGATTCAGTTACTGTTTGACTAGCAGCATAAATGAAGTAAGATTTGTGCTGCCACCTCCTGATGTTCTCATCCCTAATAAGACAGTGTCATTTTATGAGTAGTTTTTGGACTTTCCCAGTGTGTCACAGCTGAATACGTGAGCCCCCTCACTCTGAAAGAACCACCCTTGATGTTTCTTCTGTGTTAATCCAACTGTAATCATTGTGGGATGCAARTCTTCAAAAGGATGAGGCTTTTATAGAAGGCATTTGTTGTTATAAAGAAACTACACATTTATGTGCTTTCAAAAATCCTCATAAATGCCTAGCTGCATTCTGAACCAGCTAAATGGTCTTTGAAATGAATATAGTCCTAATAAAGATCRCAGGATTCCACAATAAAAATGTACAGCCAGAAAAATCCACTTTTTTGATTATTTCAAATGGATAATATATATCAGGAGCCTAACAGAACAGTGCGTAAAATACATTTTCCCCRAATTAAATTAATAATGCATTGGATTAGGGAATTACACAGGATTCCACCATTCTCTTTCAGATAAGTTTTATRTATTATACAATTGGCAAAAGTTAACATTAATGTCCCTGTGCTGTTCCTGCCAGGTTCTCTGTGCATAGTACCCTACAGTTACTTTCTTCATTGCTTGGCAAGAAGTTGAGATTTGTACATTCTGCAGCCACGTCTTTGGAGGAGACATAATTAAAAGCAGCCGTTTGGCAATTTCAGTGGTGTGATGTGAGGCTTATTTTCCTATCAATTCTTGGGGCTTTCAGTGGGTTTCTAAAATGTCATTTTGAGGCATCAGCTCGTGCAAACAAGATCTTCCTCAGGGTATTACTGAATGTCTCGCGTACAACATATGTTATGTTTGTAAGTGCCAGAGTTTGCTCAATATCCAGGTGGTGGCAGTGTAGCAGTTATGGGGGATTTAGACTCTTTAGGCAGGGCTAGGCAGAATCTACTGAGTCACCTTAGTGTCTGATCATAGTGATCCACAACCATCAGGAGTCATCCAGCTCTGCAAGAGCCTCTTCTTGTATCCTGAAGTTCCTCAGGATGCAGTTAGGCATTTAAAATGATCTGGGAGCCTGGGTATGTTTGAAAACCTTCTAGCCTGAGCAGAATGACACTTCTCTCATGAATCAAGTTTCTGAAATTAATGCACGTGGCAAGTGCTCCGCTGGGCAGCCTGGCAGCCATTCCCCAGGATACAAAGGGACTGTGGCTGTAGATCTGAATATCCTGTCTGCAGACCTGGATATCCTGTTCCTAGTGATAAGCAGCAGCAGGTTTGATTAAATCTGCCCTTTTTTGATTCTTTTAGCAACTCATTTATTACAAAATAAATTTCAGTATCAGCAAGATTACCTGTGCTTTGGCAATCAACACACTCCACATTCGGAACGACAGTCACTCTTTTTTCACTCTTTAGCCATTCTGATTACCAGAGGTGGAACAAAATTTGATATTACTTCCTTACTTTTGTAAAGCTTTATGCATATTGCTTCGGAGCACAACACTTATTTGACTAAAGATTGTCTTATTCCTGTGTAGTCTGAGTAATCTCTGGACATGGTAGGCATTCATTTCTCTGGATAATATTTCAAATTATATGCCACGTACTGATATAATGAAAAACATTGTTTTATGTATTGTTGTACGAAATGTTAAATAGCTGTTATGGAAATAATGTTCTGTAAAACACTGAGTCTTTTCACTCTGACATCTTATTGTTGAGGTACATATCTTAGTAAGTGCTTAACTGAATGAATATTATGTTAAAATGTTCCTGTTCAGTGGTATATTAGGGGATTTCGTTAGAAAGTCTTTTATTTATTTTTGACCAACTGCCACATAAAGTTTAAAAAGATATTTGGATGTCAGCCATTGCTGTATTGTGCAGTTAGGAAAGTATGTACATTATAAGCATAAAATTTTGCTTATATAATAGTTATTTAGGAAAAAAAGTGGGATTTCATCAACAGTTTCTTTCAGATGTTTCCTTTTTTCATTCTTACAACTTCATCTTTTAAGCATTGAGGTCTGTGTCTGATATTTGATTTTTTTATTTTGGCATGTGGTTTAGTACTTCAGTTCTCCTAATGCTTAGGGATATGGGATTTTTTTGTGGATAATCCTGCTGCCTTGCATAAAATTCTGTATATCTGCTTAGTCTTTGAAACTTAAATCTCTCTTACATTTTCAGATGGTTGTACTTGAATACATACTTGCTTAGGGAGCAAAGGCATTAAAATGCTTTTATTGTATTTTTCCTTATTTAATTTTAGTGAGCTTCTAAGCCGAAAAATGGAAAATGTTTGCATTCTACTGGCAGAAATACTTTGGCACACTTGGTCATAAAAATAGCAGGAGAGGAGCTATTGAAGAAGCTTCCCAAATGTTCTTTTAGTTCCTTACCTTTATGGTCTCAGGTTGCTCTGTCTGAAATTATCTGTCATTACAGTATAATTTTGAAATGCTGTACTGCCACAATCATTTACTTTTCAGAATGTTGTTTAGTGACATGGGGTATTTTAGAATATTTGACGGCCAGAGATGAACAGTTGGGATAGTTTTAATATTTTTTCTACCGCAATATTGCAATGCAGTCTTTAATATATCATTGACCAAGTGCACTAGTTGCATTAAAAAGAACTCTGAGGTATAAACTACTAAAACTGCCTTAACAGGTGACTCAAATGTGAATTTCATATTTCTGTTCTTAATCTACAGAGGTTTGTTCCAATTCGTATCCTCTCAAATAGGTTTAGGAGAGGTTTTTGGGCAAGTATCAAAACAGATGTTAATGCAGATGAAATGAACTGCTGATGAAAAGCATCCCTTGCTTTTCTATCACAGCTTGAATTCACACACTTTTAAGCAAAAGCATCTTTTAATTATCTCTGTTAAAGATGATAATGACGTTCTGATATAAAAGATGTGGATTAAAGTCCTGAGAAAGTAATATTTAATTTGAAAATAGCTTTTTAGTGTAGATCAATCTGTATTGTTTATTGCAGTAACGATTCTTAATGAACAGTTTTTAATATAAGGCATTTCTATTTTTTTCAAAGTAGATTTTTCGTTATGTAAACCTAGTTGATCTGGCAAGATGTGCTCAAGTTAGTCAAACCTGGATGCTGCTGACTCAGAACAGTTCAATATGGAGTGATGTAAGTAAAATAATCTCTTTCCAGCTTTTATTTCAATTTTGTTCATTAAAAAAAAGAGTAAACCAAGGAGGAAGGTTACATCAAGCATTGTAGTGGTCTAGGACAAATTGTTTGTCCAAGAATTTGACCTGTTCTACTCATTCATATTAATAAAATATGGGAGCAATTCAAATAAAGTTTTCTGTGGTACATTGTTATAAAATCAGCATAACTGAAAAGRGAATCAATCTCTAGGGCTTGGCTATAGCTCCCTACATTTAGCCTAGAAATGTCTAAATTCTTAGGCTCATTTCAGACAAGTGTTCTTGTAGTCTAAAAAGGCACTATAAGACTCAGTTCTCAGAGCRAGGGGTGCAGGCCAGCTCACTTCCATATCGCTGAAGTCCTCAAGTTGTTGCTCATTTCTAGGTCACTGACAGTGTCCAGGTCACTGTGTTGTTTCCTGTACCCTAAGAGCACAAGTGTCACACCCACTTCTCTCAGCTTGCCTCTCTTGTACACATTAGGTGTCTGTGCCACCGTGCTCTGCCTGGAGGGCCATACCTGACATAGCCAGTCTTTGACTTGGACTTAAAAGCACTGTCACATTGATTCTTGCTCTTGCCTTCAGCCATGCTGATGGGAACTGCCTCAAAGCAAGCCATTCCTTAGGTGCTGTCTCTAGCAGTGACACCCTGAGCAACGYTACTTCTGCCTTTGTATCAGAGCTATTACCTGAAGCCATTTGTCAGCAGTCAGAGAGCCATGACCAGTTAGGCCCACGGGCCAGCACAGGCAGCGCAGCTGAGGCGAGGCCCAAGGGCAAGGGCCTGGATGCAGCTTCTGAGCCAAGGAAGGAAGCCCTTAGTTTTCTCACAACTGAGCTGTTTTCATACAGGTCTTTGATATTACATTGCTGCACTCTACTGGAGCTGATCTTCAACTGAGGTAGCTAAAACCCAAAACCCCAGGAGAAGAAGAGGTTGCAGACGCTGTGGGGGCACCTGGAACCCTGGTGGTTGGCACCTCTCTTTCACCTGAGCAGATCCATTTGGGGTCTAGAAAGTGGACGAGAGTTGTGCCCTGTGAGGCTGAGAAAAGCTCTAAGCTTAGCTCTGATAGAGCTACACTGTTCTATCTTCAGAGTGGGACACCAGGCTCTGATTTCCAGGGTAAATTCATTTATTTATATTTTGGCTTTTGKGCTCTTTTTGAAACTCTTAGTAGTCAACCAGAAAAACTGCTTTCTAGATTAAGAAAAAAAATCTTAACCTTGAACTTTTGATAGACATTAGAAAAAATGCATTTTTTAGGGAGCAATCAGATATCTCAAATCAGTAGCTTTAATCATTTAACATTTTTCCAGTGAAACTAAGATGATAGATTACATGTTCTTCATATTTTGATATATCAGTGGAGTGCTAACTAGAACTTTTTTCATATTTTCGGGATTTTATACATCTTMAAATAAACAAGTAAAATAAAAATACAAATCTGACTTTTTTTTTTTCAGAAGATATTTCTGACTAGTTGCGATTATGGGCAATGAAAAGTAGCCTCAACGACACTGGCTGTAAAGACTGTAGACAAAAGCTTCTTCTACATATAAGCATTGCTACTCAGCTTTGTAGCATTTTTATATATGTAAAAAAAAAAAGATGCTTCTGTGTTTTCCAGATTCTGTGATTCAGTRTTTAGATTTTATAATCTATATTTATAATCTAAATGTTATGTATTTTCCATGTACTGGTTATTAATACCTGAATTATATATGAATTGCTTAAATTTTTAGATCAATTTTTCATCAATAAAGCATAAAGTTCAGGACAAAATAGTAGTAAATATTTTGCAGAAGTGGCGTCCTTATGTACTACGATTGAATCTTCGAGGTTGCCGTTCTCTCCATTGGCCTAGCTTTAAAAGTATCAGTAAGTATTTTTTATGTGTATATATATATATATTTATATATTATATTTAAATTTAATTCTCTCTATAAATTATCTTCACTCTATCCTTAACTCCATTTTGCATCCTAAACAAATGCAATGTTAAGCAATATGAATATGAGATCTGTTAAATTGCTTCAGATGCCTGTCTTTCATTGCAGTCTGTAGGCCCAGCACTATCCATATGACTGAACATTGGTAGAAGCCCATAAAATAGCTTATATTATGTATGAAATTCTGTGACTATAATATGACAAATGAGACTGGAATTTGAACATATGCTTAAATGTATCAGAATGCCAAAATCGAGACAATTATTCCTGAAACTCAGATGTAAAATGCTGCGATATTGCGCGACAAACTAAAGTTCCTGGGAAATCTTGATTCTTCTCCAAAATTACATTAAAAGAAAAGAAAAGAAAAGAAAAGAAAAGAAAAGAAAAGAAAAGAAAAGAAAAGAAAAGAAAAGAAAAGAAAAGAAAAGAAAAGAAAAGA